GGACGAATAATTTTTCGTTGGGAATATTCGAGATATTTTTACTGTTTATTAAATAAAATAGGAACGGAAGAAAATAAAATGCTGAAAGTAATAGCCTATATACTAGGCATGATGTTCTACAAGATGATCTATGTTTGAGCTATCTGAACAGTTGTCGACTTATTTCAATCTTAAACTAAAAATTACACTGCAGGTCAAAAGCTTGGAGATTAAGTTCGTGTGATCGCTTTTATCTATTTTTCTGTTTGTGAGATCTTGACAACATATTTAAAGATATTTGTACATTCTACAAAATCTTGTGCATGTTTGTGTAAGACTTGCAACATCTTCATCCCCTCTTGTGAAGAATGACTTAAAATTCGGGGGGTCTTTCAATTACGTGTAGTCTTTCAAATAACGAAATTCGCAGATTTGCCTCACAAATTATTGCTGACAAAAAATACCCTTTTTGTTTTTATAATAGATAATAGAATCGCTGAAAAGGAAATGGATAAAAACAAAGCTAGCCTACCGCCATTCTTCACCGCGGGTCGTTTGAAATAATTTATCATGTTTTTTCAATATTTTACGAAAGCCAGTAAAATTGAGTACTTGATAATTTTGTAATAGAACGAGCATCAAATATAATTCACTGAAGGCCACTTTCAGATTGTTGGTGTTTTTATAGTGCATACGTTGCGTTCGTTGTTCGGGTATTCTTTTGAGTACACGTTCAGGTAGAATACGGGACAGCGGTGCTATCAAACTGTGACGTTGGGTTGGACTTGTTATGGCATGGGACAGCGACGCTATCAAACTGTGCCGGTGGGTTGGACTTGTCATGGCAGTTGTATCACCATTGCCGTTACCGATTGCATTCGCTTCTTGATCGACGGTGATGGACGCCTTACGAGAGGTAACACGTTGTACTCGAGCTCATCTTTGAGAGTCTCGAAACGTCTCAATGCTCTAGAAGCAAGGAATGCATACATCGGCAGTCTCTATCAAATTGGTCTATATTTTTCCATTCTACCACTTTGTGTCTCAAACAACAGAAAAACGATCATGTCGGATCTTAATATGACAAAACTTCCAGACACTCAAAAAGTTTTTATAATATACATACAATTAAGTAGGTCGAAAACCTTTGTATTTCTGTAGATCCTATTTCATTTTTTATCATGATACAGCAGATGTGCAGTAAGGAAAACATAACAGTCAGTCCACGTAGAACACGACCGACGATGCTCAATAGACGTTCACCCATTTGGTTGATGTTTGCATATGCTGTAGAGGCATAACTACGAAGATTTTTCACCCAAGCCGATTGGAAAATATTGTTACTTCGCAGAGACATTCACATTGTACTAAAAGCCCCGATATCAAAAGACACAATCCTCGCTTATCCTTTGCTGCCTCATACTCTCTCGACTGGGCGAAGATAATGGGCTGAAATTTTGGCTGTACGATGATGTCACCCAATATCCGCTGTGACAAAAGTTTCAGCCTGTTTTAAGCCTTTTCCCCTCACTCAGACCAAGTTCGAAAAAAAAATCGTGAGTTTGGTTGATGATGAGCAAAACTGGTAACTTTCCTACCGACTTCGAACTAGATGTAAGCTCCTGCGAAAAATTGGCGAAATTGGCGAATGGCGAAAAATTAGCGTCGAGCGCCTTCTCGAGTCAGAGCCCAAATGAGGTCTACCAACAGTCTGTTACTCTGGTCTGCACAGCTCTAATATCAATAATTAGCGACCGCTGCAGGAAGGAATAAGTAGACACTCTGCGGAGCTAATACAACAGGAGTGCTAACCCTTGACGGCTGTTCTGGCTTTTTGACTTCGTGGTTGTTTAGGGATCCGGTTGGATCCACAGGAGAATGTATAGAAGAAGTCTGAGTTTTTTTCACTTAATCCAAGTTTTTTATGTATGGATCGATGGGGTATGCTGCAAAATGTTCAAAAGAAAAATATTTTAATAACTAATATTAACAATTAATTTTTCAAATATTTTTTTATCGGAACTAATAAACATTTTTCTTATTGTAAGATAGAAAAATATTAACACGCCTAGGACAGAAAACTCTTTAATTATTTTAAAATAAAGGAAAAATATTTACATAAAAAAAAATATTCAACGGACTAATATTTAACTAAGGCGGAAATATATTTAGTTGATTTTTAGTATTAAAATGGTATTAAAATACACTTGGAAAAATCATGTACCTGACTACTCCAGCACATGCTGGCAAATGTGCGCACACATGCCGACAAATACAGTTACTTAGTTTCTCTTTTGTAGGTAGAAAATTCTTTTCGTCAGTATGTTTCGGATGAAAGAAATACAATGAAGCTAGTTTCAGGCGTGAACTCTTGTGGTTGCTCTTGCACAAATGCTTTCATTCGTTTCCTCATTGAGTGTTGCCACTCCCAAATTCTTTTTAGATTTTGTTTGATTTCTCTATAAAGTCAGAAAAGTGTTAGACTTTGCACGTTTGATGAACCTTTAAGAGAGCCTCCACGAGCCGATCGAGTATACCTGTCAATCGCGAAAAATAGATTTTGTTTAAAGTTACATCATTCGATTCGGCATGAAAAACTGGGGTGACGAAACCTTTTAAAACCTCATACGTCATTTTTCTCTGGAGAAAATAAAGATTTTCCAAGACCTGAGGCTAAAAGCCCGGAAATTGACCTATTTCAGCTTTTTGTGTATAAAACCGTCAGTTTTCGTTGGATCTTTTTGAACAACATTTCATTCGAAAGAGCGCACAAAACTGAACAAAATTTGATATTTAAAAGCTTTTAAAATAGTAGTCACAAAAAAATATATTTTACTAAAATTTTGAGGTTTCGAAAAACTGAGATTTTTGTGGAAAAACCTGTATATTTTAAGCAACCAAACGGAAATCCATAATAGAGTTTCGATATTTTAATAGAACAAACAATTCTGTACCTGATGCATTGTTCAAAAATGATAAAATCGATGCAACTCGGGATCAAAATCGTCCCACAATAGCCAGAGTTGGAAATGACCAAAACACAGAAAATGTTCTAAATAATTTTTTTCGTCGTCAGACTATTTCCAATCAATTTTTCAGTCAAGATTAAGTATAGGAAAAGCTTTTCCTCCTTCAATAAGTTTTTTTCTGTGGAAAAATCAGATTTTCCCCAAAAACTTGCGGAAAAAGTCGAAAAAATCGCCATTTTTTAGTTTTTGATCAATAAAATCGACAATTTTCGTTCAACGTTTTTGATCAATATCTCACTCAAGAACACGAAAAACTGAAGAATATCTGATATTCAGAAAAATTTTAGATTCAAAATAGTAGTTAGAATAATGGGTTTTCGCAAAGTATTGTTATTTGAAAAGACATGATCGTTTTCACTCATTCTGAGTAAGTAACAAAATTTATATTCAAAAGATAGCGCACTCCGGTATGTCCGAATACAAGTATGTTTAAATCTTGGAATTGTGCATAAATGGTATTTTAGATACAGCGAATTTGGTGTGCAGAGCACACTCGAAGATGAACTTAGTCAATAATCATGTGTTAAGTAAAACAGCTTCTGATGACGAGGACGGAGAAAAAATATGATGTAAAACATACAAGTGTTGTCATACCGTTATATCGGATCAGGCAGAGAAAATGAGCCTCTCAGAATTTTCTATTTGTCTGGCATCTAAGATTAATGTTTTCTTTAAAAGATGCGTCGCGAAATACTCTACAAAATCATACCTCAACTTTAACTTCACAACTCCAGTCGGGAACCTACACAAATTAGACGAAAGGCGAAATAAGTAAAAAGCTGGTAAATTTGGTATTTTGTTCCACTTGAACTTGTTTCTTCTGCTGTTATTTCCGTTAAAAAGCGCAGCAAGCTGACAACTCTATTCTTTTTGTACTTTCAAATGGGCTTCTTTTGGTTTGTAAAAGAAGCTTTTTAGAGCAGATGGTCTGCTCGAGAACGAAGTTTCGAAAAAGTTGACAACCTCTCGCTTCCAACAATGTGCTCAAGTAAGAAACGGAAGACATGACCAAAGTTTTGATTTTGCACTTATTTGAGAAAAGCAATCATTTTTGATGAAAAAAATAAACCTTATCGAAAAATCCTTTGTTTTGATGGAGTTATGGGAGTTTTACTGATAGCACCGCCATACGCAGAATTTAGAAATTAATGAAAAAATGCATGACAACCAACAAAAAAGTATTATTTCTCCCTGGGTTTTGATGTGAAAAAAGTTGAAGTGCAGCTAAAAGATAGAGCGAAGTCAGCGCTACAAAATGGCTAATTCAATTTTTCTTAGTTTCAGAATCATCAACACAGGACATCGTTTCTGTGTTTAGAAAGTTCGCATTTTTTTCGTCTTACGTCTAATTATGTTGCAACCATTTCATTTTCTGTAGCCTGCAGAATGCTACTTGTAGAAACAATTATTCTTTTAATTTCGGATAAGCGCACATAACTTAGTATTAACCGCTGGAGACTAGACGAATAGGAACGACTCGTGCTTTGTCATTTGCAACTGCTTACCTTTTGGATGGATGGAACAATAGTGATTTACTACAGTACGAATGAAGGCATTGAAGAAGAAACCTACGAGACGAAAGAGACAGTTCAACTGTTGAAGAAATCTAATAATCATATCTTATTTCATACACATCAGCAGAAAT